ATTCATACTGATTAATTTTTTTCTGCTCAATTAACAGTGGTGCTTTCAGGCTTTTCAATAGGAAGTTAGTCTTGGTTCAAAAAATTAATTTTATACTGGTTAAATCGAAAATTGTATTATTATTGTTAATATATATTTAAATAATTATACTGTAAATCTAAATATTAATACTCTAAATAGAGATATTAAAATAATATTAATATAATTATTGATTATACAATTAATATTAAATTAATACGAATGATAAATAAAAATTTGTCCTTACCTTAATACAATTTTTGCGTTGCATTTGGCGTCCTATAGTTATCATCGTATTCGATAGAAATGTTACGATGATCCAAAAGGGAATTATCAACAGCTAAAATTACGAGATTGATCTGTACATGGTTGTAAGAATGTTTCATTGCCTCCGGAGCAATTAACGATTTCTTTATGACAACCGATTGTAGCTTTACATCCCAACCGGAAAGACTAAGAATCTGACCACGCATAATGGTTACTAATACGTACCCCAGCAGATAGCCATAATCTTCGTTCAATAAAAGTGATCGGTGGTTATAAATTTCACCAGGCAGTACGACGATAAGGGCCGTGAATTGTGCATTGAAAAACTCTTTGTCGATGATAAATCACCACCGGGCTGTTACTTTTCTCTGTATTCAGATAAAAGTTTGAGCTTTCAATTTTCACCGAATGTTCCGACAATTTCTTTCATCTAACGAAACACTGAAATTTCCTATAAAAATACAGAATTTTTTTATAAAATTTCGAACAAATATAATAATTAACACATAATAATGTGCACGATTGAAAAAATAAATAGAATATTGAGCTGTGAAATAATAATATATATATATATTAAGGATACAATAATAGGATATAATAATAGGATATTGTTGAAAATAAGATACGTCTTAACGTATCGAATATACAAAAATTGTAGATATAATAATAAGGATATAATAATATTAATAATGAAAGAAATAATAATAAAATAATAAAAATTGTTACTTATAATGTCAAATTATATTAATGTATTTCTATATGTTATTATTATTATTATTATTATTTCGATATTATTATATATTTTATAGTAATAATAATAATAATAACAATACGATAAAAGAAAGAAGAAGTAGTACAAATTGTTCTTCATAAAGAAAATTTAATAACAATATAGCCCGCCCAGTAAAAATGGTCAAAATTATTTTACGGTCAATTTTTTAGATTGGTGCTTCTATAGTGTTTCGAACAATTATATTTTTGTTAATATTTCTATTTGTAATTTCGTGCAACTTGAAACTCCGGTTTCTAATAGCAATGTCGGACAACCACTGGCGCGCGTTCTGAATGAACTCATTATGCATAGTCCCACGAGCCCATACACCATTTCAATTCAACAGTGCTGTCTATTCACGAAATACTACGGCGTCTGAACTCGATTCTGAAAGCCAAAAGGGCGACTTAAACGCGAGGTGCGTCGAAATAACAAATAAAAGAGAAGCTTAGTATGCAGGAGCAGGAGTCTTCAACTCCTGATGGCTCTTAAAGTGTAACGAAATTTTTTCGACATCGAAAAGTTACCATCTAGAGAAATTTATTATATCGTACGTAAGAATATCTTCTCCGGTATCTCAATTTCTAACAAAATCCTCAAACCTAATTCAAAATTCTCCTCCTAAAATTCAACTAATTTCCTTCCTTATTTTCTTCCGTTTCTAATTAATTTTCTATCAATGTCTATCCGATATTTATATTTTTATTATTCCATTTTTAAATTTATAATATATTTTTATCTTTATATTTGTGTGAGACATTTGAAAGCATTTTGGAACAAAATTTTCATTCAAATAGATCGAGATATGTTTTAATTTGATTTCAGTGTCTGCGTCATACTTTAAATTTGTTTACGTAGTATCTTGGAAGAGAGATTTACTGCTAAAGTTAAAAACAGAAAAGTGTTGATAAAATCACATGGAAATCGATTAAATGAGGATCTCTGGTAGATTCGACGAGGATGCCGGTTCAGGAAGTCCGAATTCAGATAGACGGGACACGGTGTCAAGATTTTTGACAGGGGCACGGAACGCTCGGGTGCACGTGTAGATCGAAACCAGACTCTGTGATAATAAACTACAAATACTATTTTTATAAAGCCGTGTTACACGTGTGTCGACCGAAATAAAATATGCTAAGAACATTCGTGTTTTTCTTCCATCAACCCCTTTCGAATTCACCCATAAAAAAGTTCAAAGCTGCCGACCCCTTCTTATGTAAAAAGGTGGTTTAAAGGGGGCTACATTGATCCTTATATCGTTTAGATCTTGTGATATGAAAAATTGTAATAAAGAATAAAATAAAAATAATAAAGAAAAATAAGAATAAAAATAATAAAATTTGGTGGACTTTCTTGTGATCTGCTAAATGTGAAATAAGATTTTATTCCATACATGATAATTATTGTGAAATAAAATTCTATTCTATACAAAATAATAAAATTTGGTTGATTTTCTTCTGATCTGGTAAATGTGAAATAAGATTTTATTCTATACAAAATACTATAGTTCAATATTTTATGGGAAATTTGGAAGTATTTTGTCGTCACTACTTATTTTACGTGCTAGAGTATTTAATCTAACTTTTGTAAGTATCTCTAGCGTGATGTAAGGTATGATTAATGGTGAGTGTGATATTAAGTAAATCGGAAATTTCAACGTTGAGTCATTATTCTAAGGAAAAATTCTAATAACAGGAATATTTTATCATTCACAGTTTCGTATTTCCGACAAGTCCTTCCGGCTTTTCACCAGCGATAAAATCATACGTTAAGAAAATATTGTTATCATGCCTGTGACCCATAAGGTTTCGTATTTACCATTATCAAAAATTTATCGTTTCGTACCGGATAAGAGTCTCTCTACGTGATTTTTTACTAATTTTAGTCGAAAATAAAATATCAAAAAATATCAAAATTTCTCCGAGCGTATATTTTTCGAAGGATTTATCTCGATGATAATAAAATAACGAATTTCGTGTCATTTAATGGAATTTAAATTTTAGTTAATTTTACCAAATTTTTGGTAAATCTACAAATTTAATCATGAAAATATCGAAGAAATAAAATAACTGGTATTAGATGTGTTAAATGCTAGACTGTTGTTTCTTCAAAATTTTATTTATTTTTCTAACATATAATTCTCTATCGTTGTTCACTTACAACGTAACTATTCATTAAATACAATTAAAAACGTTTGGTTTAATTAGAGCGTTGTTCCATTTCTCGCTTGAACAAGAGCAGATATACGATAATGGCCATCGCTGACAATATCAATGGGTTGGTTGTTGCTCTAAAATATCGAACTATAAATAACTATAATCTTCCTTTATCGAGGAATCCTCTCCATGTTTTTTAATAACTTTCTTAGATCATGTTACTCGCGAATTTCAAATCTTTTGGCATCGTATATCTTTACAAGAGTTTCATATACTACATAATTCATTGAAGATATCTTATACTACACGTTATACACGATTTATTTATTAAAAATATACGAAATTGAATGCCTTTTATATTTTAGTGGTATGAATTTTTTTTTAATGTAATTCTCTAAAAATGTGATTTTTTTATTTCTGAATCTTTCGAATCGAATATATCTTATTGTATTTTAAGAGTATGTAGTTTATTTACCAACAATACGTATTAAATGGAAAAATGCAGTAAGATGAAAAACATAGATATATATTTACAAACTATTGATAAAAATTCTATCTACCTATTGCACCGTGTCTTATTATAAATGCAACGTAAACATATGTTATAAGTACAAATCTTATCTTGAAATGTGTAAAGCAATTAAATTTATGAGTTAAGTATCGATACCGATACCTTAATTCTGTATTATAACTAGATCAGTCATTTTTCTTGGATAGTAGTCGATTTTTGCAATATCTGGTATTTGTATCATTCACTAATAATCCATATAACGTGATCAAAATATATTGTCAAGAACCTAAATGCTCTTCCATTTATGAAAGTAATTAGTAAGTAATTGTGATGTAAAATAATTTTCCCTAGGTTTACTATTAGAATAATCATTAACTATTCATTAGAATTCAAAGACATTATCAGTTTCTTAATTGTAGATCTCTTAAGCTATAATATAATTACTAATATTCAACATGCAATCATTATAAAACGATACTCGACATACCTTCAATAAAAAATATTAAAATTGTTTTTTTAATTTAAAGTGTAAAAAAATATTCGTAATGGAAAAATATTCACATCCTTATCAAAGCATTCTGAACACATCTTTGGTTCATCAGATCAATGATACTTCTCGTACATTTCTATCTCACACCGAGAAAGGTTCTCAAAACAGGAATCAGATTTGTGATTCTTATCTGTACAAGTACCTGCCTACAAAAGATATTAGCATTTTCTATTAATTCTGTACATCTTTCAGTTCATCTTAATAAGTTTGGTCCACGATAGTAAATGCAATAAGAAAGTTCGACTTTTTACTCTTGGCACTTTCCATGATTATTTGGAAGACGATTTAAAAAATTCTCCGTTAAACTCAAAAAGTTATATATAAATGTATATATAAGCATGTGATATGTTAACGCATAAATGGCCCCTTTCGCAATTATGGCACTGAAAAATTTACTTTCTTCGCTTCTCCCAGAATTCCATCTCGTGAAATACATTTTTAACAATTCTTAGGTAACAAATCGGTTTACGTTTTCATGGTTCTCTCTTAAGAGTTATGTACACTTTACTTTTTTGTATATCCATTCATTCGGTCATGGCTATCCTTTGTTAATTCTTTGTCCACCGTTACACGATATTGAAGATAATCCGCAATTATGACGTGAAATATGAATATCGATAAAAATGAAGACAATTCTGCATGGGAAAAGATATCATAAAGAATCAAATTCATATACCCCAATTAATCTGCATTAAAGTACAAAAAACAAAATAAAATGTCGTCAAACATACATTCCTCAAAATCCAAGCAATCACGATGTCACAAAGATCAACCAGCCACTCATTCCATCCATTCAAGAAGTACACTGTCTGTACTGTTGTGCTTTCTGCTCGATTTCGCTCAAATGCTTTCCCATTTCTCCGGCCAAGGAGTCAACTTCGGCCATCAGATCGGACAGCGTCCTTTCGTTGTCCCTATAGACGCTTTCCATGCCATCCAAGTCCTTCAATTTCGTCGAGGTATCAGCAGTGAGTTCAGAGGCCTTCTGCAAAAGTTTCTTGGCCCTCAATATGTTCCCTTTGCTCTTGTTCACCCTTAAATCCAATGACTCGTCTGCTTTCCTATACTCCATGGCAAGTTTCTTCGTCTTTTTGTCGACTTTCTCCGTTTCACTGCCAACATTTCTTGCTTCTACACCGATCTCTTGATTCAAAACGAACTCATTCCTGACCGACTGCGTTTGTAACTGTTTCAAACGAGCATCCAGAGAATCAACCATGTGGGTGGTACTATTTGCTTGCATCTGAGCTCCTTTGGTTACCTCTGCTATTTCTTCCAGATCCTGTTTAGCTCTATTGACGTCGCGTTCAGCCTGATCGATGGCTACCTGAGCTCGATCTTGAGCCCTCTGAGTATCGTTCAATAAAATGACCACCTTGTTAGCCAGAACCTTCTTCTCAATCGCATTTTCTTTTGTTCTATTAGCTCTTTCTTTTACTTCCCGGGCTAAATTGAGATCATCCTTGGTATCCGCGAGGATCTTCTCAGAGTCAGTCAGGGACCCGACAATACTCTTTATACGATCGGCTAATTTTTTTATTTCATCGGGTTTCAATTGAATATTCTTAGCTAGCACTTCATTAGCTAAGTCCCTGACCATAGCTGGAGTAGGTTGATCTTCGTCCAGAGTGCTGCGGATTCGTTTGTTTATATCGGACAGATTTTTGTACACGTTCTCGGACAGGTTGCGGGCTTTCAAGGCGTAGTTGTAGGCATCTTGGGCATTTGATCTAGCTGCCATTGCGTCGCGTTTCACTTCAATCATCTAGACAGAAATTTATTACCGATGCAAGGGATTTGGAGACTAGAGGGAAAATTACTTTAGTTGACTTGCTAAATATTTTGTTTTAAAATCAATAGTACAGTTCTATAAGAAAAAGATCAATGAAATTTAATCTTCGTAAATAATAAAAATTTGAGCAATTACCACCTACTAATATACTCTGACTATATATTTTAAAATTAGATAAAGAAAGTTTAAAAATAAAGATTTGTAATAGTACACCACCTAAATAATAGAAAAATTATTTGAAGTAGTAATGCTTTTATCATAGCAAATTTGTATAATAAAATTGAAAAAATAAGCAAGACATACATTACGAAGCAACTGTTCGGCCTCATCCTTATGGCTCTTGATTTTAGCAGACTGCGTCTTAGCTACGTCCAAAGCTTGATTGGCTTTGGTCAGGGCACCTTCGCTACAGGACAAACCACCACAGAAACCGCAGCCAGCGCCACCACATAGGCTACTGCAATCCGTCACATTATCTCCGCACATTTCCAGATTCAAACCTGGCATAATTCCATCGAAAATCTTCAATTTTTCGTGTATTGCGTCTAAATTTTGTGCATTCCTCATCTGTACCTCTTCAACAAAACGACGATTCTTAGCTAATAAAGTTTCTGTATGTTTACGGAATCTTTCTGCATCAGCCAGGACAGAACTAGTATCATTGGCCATTTTCTCTGCTTGCCTAGACTGTTCAGCCATTTGCTGCGTAACGTTAAGAGCACCTTGTACATTTTCTTCTTGCAATCTAGTTGCATTTTCTTTCAGATCTGTAGCAGCTTGGTGTAAGCTATTCGATCTATTCTTCAAGTTCTTAAGGGCTGCGTCCCCGAGATTCACTCTTTGACTAACATTCTCTATGAGATTATTCACATCCTCTAATTGCTTAGTAGTTGCAGACACGTTGCTGTTCAAATCTATAGCTAAGTCGTTTAATTCATCTAAGTCCTGGCTTCTAATGGAAGTATTACTGATTAATGCTTTCACTTGATCCAAAGATTTAACCATGTCATCGAACTCTTGACTATAGACTCCTGTTGTTCCAACTTTTTGGATTCTTGATGCCTCTTGGATTACGAGATTCGTTTTATTTCTTAAACCGGTTAGCGTTAAGTCCCAGTTATCGAAACATTCTCCGCAAGGACTACATTGCGGCGCATTTCCATAATAGCCACGATCACACTGGTCACATTTTTCACCACCAATTCCTTTGTGACAGATGCACATTCCGGTTTCTCTGTCGCACTGCTGGCGAGCAGAACCCATCAGATCACAATCACACGGGTAACACTCGACATTTGGATTACCCCAATAATTACTTTGACACTCGTTGCAACGTCTCCCTCCGAATCCTGGTTTACACTCGCAAGTACCGTCGAATGGATTACATCTGTTGGCATAAAAATAAATACCGTATTTCAAAATTAACACTTGCAGATTGATTTGTTTGAGAATATGATTTCTGTCATTATATAAAAAAAATATGAAATCCAAAGAACTCAGTATCGTAAGTTTATTCTGATTTTCCATGTACAAACCTGTCAGAAATACTTCCAACTGCGTCACACTCGCAAGGATCACAACCTTGGCCACTAGCAATCCTCCAATGATTTTCTTCACAAGTGTCACAAAGTAAGCCAATAACGTGAGGCAGACAAGGACACTGTCCGGTTCGGTGATCACAAGGTTCAGCATTTCTATCCGTTCCCAAAACGTCACACTGACAATCCTGGCAATCCTGTGCGAGAGCATTTCCATAATACCCTGCCTTGCAAATCTGACAGTTTGCCCCATCGGTGTTATAGAGACATTGTAAACAACGCCCAGTTTGAGGATCGCAATTTCCGATTCGACGTAGGTCCGTGTTGTTGTTACAGTTACAAGGTTCACAGCTGCCGCCAGCAACCTCGGGATTACCAAAGTAATTTTCTGCACAACTTTCACAACGAGGTCCTGTGTATCCATCGAAACATTCACAAATCACATCGTGGGTCACCGAATCCAAGGAACAGCTCTCAGCGTATGAATGCCCGGAGTCTAGAGTGCCTGTGAATTTTTGTAAAACCATAGAATAAATAGGATATAGAGAGATGAAATAGTTTTTGTACAAATCATATGGGATTTATATAATATATGCGTAAAAATTAAAATTAATAGTAATTTTAAATCAAAATAAAAACTGAATATTCTGGAACTACTGCTGTTAAGATATTGAAAAGCTACTAACTTGTACAGAACACCTTACAAGAACTTACCCGGACAAGGACAAGCTCTGCATGGAATATCTGCACCGATTCTGGGATCACCATAGTATGTCTCGATGCACCGATCGCAATTGTGCCCAGTTGTGTAATCGCGACAATTGATACAAGCTCCAGTCTTGGAATCACAACTTTCAGCGTGCCCATTACATTCACATCGTTGACAATGGGGAAAATTCCAAAAGCCAGGTTCACATTGACCGCAAGTTCTGCCGTACGTATTCGGTCGACACTTGCATCGACTTGTCTCAACATCGCAGAAATTGTCTAGTGCCCCAACACCGTCACAATCACAGGGTACACAGCCCTCTGGACCAAAACCATAAGTACCAGGAGCGCAACGATCACATCGTCTACCAACGACGTTCGGTTTGCAGGGGCAAATACCTCCGTAACTCTCACAAAGCAAACTGTGGGATCCAGTCGGGTTGCACTCGCAAGCTGAAATGTAAAAAAAATTAAATGAATTTAGCCTTAATATACAATTTTTGTTAATGTAACATTAAAGAAATATTCGTTTCCTACTCACAATGAGCACCATCGTAAACATAGTAACCAATACTGTTTTGATATTGTTTACAAACTTCTGGTATATTAGTCCATGCACTATTAATATCATTAAACAATTCATTGCAATGATATCTTTCATATTCTTGTCGACGAAGTTCACCAACTCCATAACCTTTGAAGAAAGGAATAGCGTCTATCTTTGGCCTCAGAACAATCTGAACAAAGTTGAATAAATTAAACCAAACAAAATCCATATCTATTTACTTTTCAAAAATGATGTTATAGTAGAAATAAATAAATACGATTTCTCCTCCAAATTAATAATATAATAAATAAAAAAAGAAAATCAAGTTATAGAAAGCTATGTTAGAACTTATATAATTTTGTACATTACTCACGGAATCAACTAAAATCGACGCAGAAGGCGTGTCCACGTGGTTGTTGAATTTACGGAATTGCAATAGAACATTATATCGTTTTCCTGCTTCCAAACAAATGGATGGTTGCACAACAACGCTTCTTGATCTTAAAGGAAGTTGTGCCCATAGCTGATCGTACTCTGGTCTCCATTCAGCACAAGGACCATTTGGATCCACTGGACCATCTCGTTCAATGATTATTTGAACGTTTTCCCAGGATCCTACCTGAATTGGTTCGTATCGTATGATAATATCATACCATAAACTTTTACGAATATCATCGATCGTAAAATTCAACACTGAACCCTCCAGTGCTTTCATAAATCCAGTTCCGCTCCATGTGCTGTTTCTTCCATCACGATAAGGCTCTCTGATCACTACTTGACAGTTCTATAAAAGAAATTCATTAAGAAAATTATATAGATCTGAAAATAAAAATATTTTCGTATTACTTCTATTAAAATTATTTTTAATAAGAAAAAAAGAAAAGATCAATTACATCACTAGCTCTCGATAATTCACCCTCGTAGATTAGAAAGTCTAACGATCCAGTGTAATAGCTCTGTTCAGGTTGATTGCAAGTTCTGCCACTGACATGAGGTCTGCATCGGCACTGGCCAGTGATAACGTCACAAGTATTTTCGTAGGAACCACCAGGATCGCAATCGCAAGGCTTACAACCGTCCGGTTCCTCCGAAAGGCCCCAATATTCCGGAAGACATTGGTTACAATCGCGAGCGGTAACGAAACGCTTGCAAGTACACTCACCAGTAACCATATTGCATCCACGATTATCAATAGTGCCCAAGGTATTACAAGTACAAGCTAAAAGAAGAATTAATTTTTATTTTTTAGTTAATAAAATTACCTACTTGAAAAATCTAATATAAAAGTATAAAATTAAAAGGTTCTGAAAGTAATATGATAAAAGTAGAGGCATTGAAAAAACGTTGATAAATCGTTGATAAGTTGTAATTAATAAATAAATTCAGGCAGTTAATCAAACCACAAAATTTACATTGAATCATTTACAAATTAGTACCTTGACATCCTTCTGGACTTTCAATATCGAAATTCCAGTAACCATTTTTGCAACGATCGCAACGACGACCTTCCACATTTGCTTTACAGTGACAACGACCTGATTCATCACCACTAAGAGGATCAGTTCTCGAGTCGCATATACCATCATCTAAGGAACCACCGAGATCGCAGTCACAAGCTACAAACGAAAAAGAAGAAAAAGAAAATGTTTAAACGCATTGTAAATACATGTATAATAACAAGGTATCTAGAAGGTCCTATCGTTATAGTATAACAATGTATAAATAACTTACGCAAACATGCCTCAGGATGAGATATGTCTTTCGTGACATCGTGATAATAAAATGGCTTGCACTGTTCACAATTTTGTCCTCTGGTGTTGTGCTGACAGTCGTCACAAACACCACCAGATACTCTTCCTGATCTTTCATAGACGCCTTCATCGAAGTGACAAGAAGTTGTATGATTGTTACAGTTGCAAGGTCTACAAGCGTTCGTCTGCTTTCCAACAGCTGGTTTCCACGGAAGATCGTGATAGAAATCTTTACAGCTTTCACAATTTAATCCCGTGGTGTTGTGAGTGCACTCGCATCTTCCATGCACCATGTTTGGCTCGTCTGCAACTCCAGGAAGGGGAAGACACTTGGATGCGTGACCATAACAGGAACAAGATCCACGAATCACTATATTCTGGATAGCATAGTAATATTTCTCTCGAATTTCTGCACGATCGTCAAGAAGATCATCTCCTAGTGTATGTAACCTGGTCATGTTTATACGGAGATTGGTGACTTTTAAAAGATTCTGTACTTCCTTCGAATAGGGGTTGTCTATTTCCAAGTTTTGAGGCAATACTCTGAAAATAGAAAATATAATGTATTTTATTAAACACTTTTCATAGAAAATCGTATCTCCAATTCCACCTTGTAAATTAATCTTTAGATCTAGACTAATAAATGTATCGTTATACACTTATATTATATGATCTCTGGTTATCGTTATTTACATACCTAAAGATAACATCACCTTCCGTAGATGGCGCCACGCCGGAATATCTAGTTTCGCAGATAACGTCTGTCAGTTTCTGAGGTTGTTCTGTAGACACCCCAGGGAAGTACTGCTCACAATTGTGAGCGAAGTATCGATACACCTGCCAAGTTTTACCAAAATCGTACGATCTCTCGATCAACATCATCGCCGGTCTGAACGTCTTGAAACGAATGATACAATGAGTGAAGTGAAATTCAGCTTCTAAATCGAAACGTATTGAAACGTTCTCCACGCCGTTCTCCGCTTGCCACCAATTTTTGCTATTGAATTAAATTCAACAAAAATATTATAACGGTACGTTTGAATGTAATTAAAATACGTTATCATAGAAATATATCTTTAAACACATATTTAACTGATACTTACTCAGAAACAACATTTTCGATATTATGTTGTTGCTTCGGCAACGATGCATCGCAGAAGAAGCACTTCTTCCGGTCTTTCAAATGGGAAACGATGCAGTACCTTTCTGGTCCTTTGAGACCACATGTAGATGTTGCGCTCAATCGATTTTTTCGACCGATCAGTAGATTTCCCGTGGAAGGATAACACGAGCTCTGCTCACAGGGATGTTTTCTCTTGATCTGTGCGACTAAAGAGAAAGACAATGAAATATAATTGCAGCAAAATATATTTATTTATAACAGATAAAACAAATTAACCATTACTTTAGTTATCTCTGTGCCCTTGAGTCAGTTCAAGTGCCGTTATATCGCCAATTGGTAATTAAATTAATTGGCAATTTGTTATTTACACTGGGTTAACGAAATCCCCAGATACCAAAAGTTAGTGATCAATGATATAGTGTACAGGTTGTGTAAAGGTGTAACCACCTCAACCAGATTAAAAGAATACAAGAAAAGAAATCTAAAAATACTCTCTGATCCACATGAGGTTTTGCTTCAAAGAGGAAACGTAAATCTTCAACTTGCATAAGATAGAAGAGATCCGTGTTAGATCGTGAACGTCATGACGAAATTATTATGTCAATTAATAAGAGGTGTGTACTATCAATATTAATCGTACGTTTATAGTAGTTTAGTTGTAGAATATTTCGTTCTGTATAAACGAGGGATTAAGTCTAAATCGAGCAACATTATCATGCTGGTTTTAATTGACTATAAACAGTGAGTAACATGAATCTGTGAATCCACCGAGAATAGGCTACCTCTTGGGCTGGGAATGGTCAACCTTGGCCAATAATGGCGCTCTTCGGTCACCTCCGTGGGTGACATATCTCCTCTCTGGATTGTCCCTATAACACCCCCGTTTTTATCTCGGATTTTCACTGCTATCTAATTCTACGTATTCTTACGTAGAATCTTTTAAAGATATTTTGATAATCCTAGATGTTTTCCATGTGTTATATTTGGCCTCGTAAGAAAGGTATTATTAATTATATTAAAAATGCTAATGTCTTAGAATTTTTTATCTAATGAATTGTATTTCGACTCAACTAATTTTTTCTCCGTTATTAATTCTTTTATCATTTTGGAACAGTTGAAGAAGTAAATAAAGCTCACCTCTGGTTGGAATTCTATCCCTGCCATATTGCAGATTTGCAGAACCTGAAAGAAAAAATAATTTGGTTAGATTTTTGGTCAGTTTTCTGCAGAGTTTATCTCTGTATATGTTTTATCTTCCGTGGCAAGGAAATTGATATCACAAAATGTGTTCATTAGTTTGTCACGATTCGAAAGCCACGAGCTATCTTACGTAAAAGGAGTAATGGGAATTCACTCTGCTAGAAATCTCAAAAAATACCAAGGACTTCTTATTTTTAATTCTCCTTTTCTAATCTGTTTCGTAGAAGATAATTTTCAGTTCTCGAAGATACGACATTTGTAAAAATATTTATCTTCAGAATTCTTTTTAACTTTTAACATATATCATCTTTGAAAAATATATTTTATGGAATGGAGTTGAATGTATTTTAGCATTTTGTATCGTGGATCGTAATTAAATTATTTCATCGACTAAATCTCGCATTAAAAGTTTATTCTGCAGGAAGAAAAGTGATGACTATGATTTCTCGGAGAAAATTTTAAACCAAGCCAGAATTGTGTAGTTATCAAGTAGCATTCTACTACCGGTTTCCAGCTATCGCAAGGGACAACCGGATGTTTATGATGTAGCTTCTCTGGAAATCACTGTTCAAAATGAATGAAAATCATAACACTCGACAAAACTCATAAAATCTCATCTTATTGATGTCAGAATTCTAATAATCCTTTCACTATCATATTTCCTATTAATACTAAATGCTTATTTCATTAATTACAAATATTATTGAATAAACTTGTATTTTTGCAATATGAACAAAATTTCATGGTAATGTATATCTTATCATTTATCTTGCAGTTTACAATGTTCAATATTTCTTACTTTTTGTTTCGTCCTTGTAAGATCCTCAGATTTTAAAAATCTGACATAAACAAAAGAATTACAATCGTTTCAAATATTTCATTGTAAGACTACTTTATTTCATAATTTTTAGTAAGGTATCGATGCTGAAAGTCTTTTGGTCTTCATGTTTGAGATTTCTAGAGCGCTTAGATTTTGAAGACCGAAATAAACTTGAGAAATTCAGAAGAAAGGCAGGTCGAGGGGTCGAATCGCTATCTAATCGTTATGGATAAAGTGTCTTTTCGTAAGAGCAATGAATGGAAAGCACGTTGTGGTTGAGAATAGACAAATTTCAACTATTTCCATTCAATAAAATTTTTTTCTTCTTATTTAATTCGAAGCATCGGCGATTGGAGTACTTAAGGTACACTTAAAAAAGTTCTTTCTTATTTCTTTCAAGATAAAGATTGCAAAAATCTACAACTTTCTTCAGATATCAAATTAATAATAATTCTTACTCCAATATTCTTTAAATAAAATATCATCTTCTGTTCCTATATTACAACAAAATGTTATTAAAGTTATGTATATAAATAATATAAGGCTTGATAAGTACAAACGATCAAAAATTGTCGATAACTGTGATAACACAGGTGAGTAAAACGTATTAATTAGTAATACTTACTTGACACAAGAATTGTTGCAAACAATAATATTGCAAAAATTGCCTGAGAAGATATTCGCGCCATTTTCTCGCCGCCCCTCTATCGTTTAAATTTATTACACCGAATTTAGACTATCAGCATTATGTTCCATCTGGAGACAAAAAAAATGTTGTATTATACTAAACAATACTAAAAGCAATTAGTATTTAATTTTTTCTATAACGCTTAACGAATCATTAAGTTTACCTCTCTTGAAGTAATTTATGAGGATTTAAAGCTTCACTTCAAATTCTATAAAGAAAACTTTCTTTAAATCCTACAAATTTTAATTTCTACACTTGTACCAGTCAAACATAACAGTATTTTCTTCGAGAAGCAATAAATTACGAAAAGCATCAATAATTTGATACAATTTTATTTTTAATAAATTCCCTATATTACAAAGAATTCAATGGAAACTAGGATTAAAACTTCTTTATTTATAACCTCAATATTTTCCATAGGAATTGGTGAAAATATTGTTATTACAAAATATTTTGAAATATACAAGTAGATTCGAAATATTATGTGCATATATTCAGTGATTAAAATAATAAGTGCATTGTTTATCTACGATGCATCGAGGATCACAATGTTAAATGTACATGTTTTGAATCAGCAATGAAACACTTTTCATCCTCGGAATTACATTAGCTATTTTTATAATTTTATAAACGATAAATGCTAGTTTCAGTATTGAGATCATGTAATATGTGAACGTAAGAATTTCTAATAATAAATTCCACTTTTACAAATATTTATCTCTCATAGTTCAGTGACCAAACTAACGTTTTCAAAGATATAGGACGCCCGATAAATTGCTAGGGATTGGCGCGCGAATCGAAGAATTTAAAAAAGTTTGTAATAAATATGAACATAGTAACACGTATTTCTCTTCGATGCATATCTTTATTTGAAATATTTTGAAATTATTTATTTCATGTAACAATCAAGTTACTTTTCGGTAAAATTAATTACTTCAGTAATAGTATATTAACAAATACAATTATCATGGCTGACTCATTAACATTGTTTAATTCTTGCACTAAAATATTTTATGTACTCTAGCAAAAATTATTCAATAAGCGCAATCCAAAATACTGAAACCTAAACGCTTTTTACTACACCAACCTATACTGTATCTAACTACAAGAAAATTATCTTCATGCAATTTAACAATACATCTTCACTTCAGAACTGTGCTTAATGTTAAATGTCAAATTTCCTTTTGATACTCTCTAAAACGGTATTATCTATCAACAAAACCTTATCTTCGATATTACATCTTCAAGCTGAGTATGATCAAAACCAGATGCATATACACACACGCACATATACAAACACAAACTGTCCCTCATATAAACCAGTCTTCTAACGCATGCTTTCGCGATAAAAAGAAAGGATTTTTTCGGAAAATATCTCTAGCGTCAGATAAGCAATGCTAGTATGCTGTAACGTGCAACGATGTCGAGAGAAACGAGAATAGCAACAACGAGATCCACGAGAAATGTCTTACCTAACTCGGTGTATCTCCCTAGAGAGAGTATCTCGTGCCACGGCCTGACAGACGCCTCGATAGATCCACGACGAGAATCAAACACAAGGAAACCGATCGAAAATCAATTATCCAGAGTACACTCGATCCCCGCGATACACCGTACCGATCACGAGATGAGGAATGAACAAGAAGCAACACTGTCTGGACGCCTGGTGACGCGTCTCTTTCTCTCACTCTTTCTCACAGCGTTTCTCTGTTAAGAAGAACCTCCGGCAGCGGCCAGTGCCGTACGTAGAATGAGATCCCTTCCTTGCCAGCCCATAACGTCGGTGCTGACACAGACAGAGGGGCAAAGTGAAATTTCTTAGGATGGTAGAGTAGGGGAACGAGTCGGTGGCAACAAGCAAGAAAAGGTTTTGTGAAGGATTAGCCGCTTGCAATTTTATCAGAGGAGGTTCATTTCGTTTGTCTTTAATAGTTTAAGCTGAGAATCATATGCACTTGTATATTACGGCTGTTGTTACTTATAAATCGTTTCGCGCTTAATATTATGAAAGGTTCGACATATTTTCTACAGTTACCAATATGTTTCAGAATAAACATTCAAGTTATTAAAGAAGATATTGGAGAGATATTAGACAAGTTTAAACAAAAAGTTGAATCGAGGGAGATTGATGAACGGAGTGATTCATGAGTCATATTTAATTCATGTAGGAGAGTTGAAGAGGTTTTAAAGAGTTATATATTTATTAGTTTTGACGATTGCAATTATGAGAACTGAATATATTAATTTCTTTTACGCTTTTACAAGTATTTAAACATTTTTTGAACGTTGTGTACATACATATATATAGTAAAGAATTATTAGTATAGTAGTATAGTATAGTAATTAGTATAGAATACAAATTACTTATAATATCGAATATTTTGTAAGTATAAGATATTTTCTGTACTGTTCACAAGCCAGTCGACAAACCGTAATGTCCATTACGTCAACCACCGTTGCAGTTCACACGTGCAGCACACTTGTATTCGTTTTCTTTTACTTCTCTTCACTTTGGTTTATAGTCGGCACGTTAAACTGTTGAGACTGACCAGTGCAGGTCGTTAGCCGTAATCGAAGGTCCTTTCTATGGTGACTATAATGACGATTCAGTATAGCTGCTTAAAAAAGTGTGCTTTGTCCTGTATATGAAACTACAATTGCTGAGAATTATAATAGAAAGTTAAAATAAATTCAAATATTATTCAGGTGCTATTCCTTTTTAACCAAAACGTAAATTATAAAATGAAACTTTTAGTAATTTAATTTATTGACATGAGAAATTATTTACAATAAATTTTCAGTATTATGGTAAAAAATTATTAATTTTGCTAATTTTCTTAAAAGATTTGTATTCCAATATGCAAAGAAATAATATGACAAAATTAAAATTGGGACATGAGTACAACGTCCTTTGTAAGAAAAAGGTAATAATGAAGTAGAACTCGTACACGCGAAATGTCACGAGCCAATGCGATCATCGAAAAGGAAGGAAGAGTAGCGTGGGCAGTCATTATCACCATAACGTATCCCGGTTATGATAGTAGCGTACCATTGCCTCTTTATTCTTGCGTTCTTTTTTTTAAACGAGTTTCTTTATTTGCTTTTCTTATAACCAACGAAGCAACAAGAAACAGCTCCTAGTAAACCACCCATTAGTTCGATGACCAATCTTAAAGAAATTCCTAAAAATATTTGTATTAAGTAATATAATAATAAAAATTTCTTAAGCGTATAAATAATTATATTCTTATATCTTTCAATTCTATTGTAAAAAAAAATGCAATGGACAAATGCAAATAGTTAACATATCAACTGAACTCAAATATCAATTGACCATCTGTCGATAAAAAATGAAGGGTAATTACGTTTCATATTATGTGAAAATATAAATTATTATTATATATATATCTAATGAATAAATGAAAAATAATTTTTAAGTTTAGTTTTAATTCTAACAACTACTAACGTAATAATCTTATTCTACACTAAGTCGGTAAAATTGAAAATGACACTAAAATGATAACAACGTTCTAAAGATTTAATCCTAATTTTTTTAAGGATTAGTGTAAAAAGATATATATTTCCTTTAAACTGTTGCTACAACAGAAAATATATAATATTATTTTAATATACTTGTCTAATGTATCATATTTCCAAATTTTATAAAATGTTGTTTCAATATAACGTTCAATGTATTTAAATTAAAATTGGAACAATGGTACAACAACCTTTACAAAGAAAATGTTAATAATGAATTAGAACTCGTACACGCGAAATGTGATAAACGAATGTGATCATCGAAAAGGAAACAAGAGTAGCGTGGGTAGCCTTATCATTACAACGAATCGTAATTACGATAGTAGCGCACCATAGCCTCTTCATTCTTACTTTTGCTCTCTTATAATATCTTTCCTTATTTATCTCTTTTTGTAGTTAACGATACAATACAAACAAACGCTTAATAAATCATTTATACATATGATTACTATTTTTTGAAAATTCTTTAAAATCATGGTACGTATTGAAATAAAGTAATATAACATTTTAGTGAAAATTGCATAATACTTGAAACTTTTTAAATATACAAATAATGTTCTTCAATGAAATAATAGTTTTATTAGCACTTTAATGATATTAATATAATGTTAAAGTATAATTGGTTTTAAAACAAAAATTTGTATTCTTTGAAACTCAAAATATATTTGTTTTATATAATGAGAGAAAATTTATTTATTTCCTGTATATCTTTTTAATTGTTATACAAAACATAAAAATAATAAGAGACGTGTAGAAATCCTGCATTTTATTACAATTATTCAGTAGATTCGCTAAGTAGGTCTATATAAGCATTTGCTATTAAATCTTCGCTTTTTATATCTAACTTAGTCATTAAATCCTGCGCAATCTTCTCCCCAGTTTCTATATCTTGTTCATCAGTCAAGACTACCTAAAATAGCAATACTAGTATATTAATTTTCAGCTATAAATGAATTATCATCCATCTTTTATGACACTACAAACCTCTAATTCCAAAAAATTTCCTAAACCTTCAACATCATCTATATGTACACGAGTCTGACCAATCATGTATAATAATCTAGTTTTTTTTACAATACCTATACAACCATTAGATGAACTTAGTATATTTACAATATTATTACACGCATGTTCATCCAAAGATAATTTTTCATAGTTACAAAGCTTTGGACCAAATGAAACAGATCTTTTGTAATAAATTAATTCTCCTGTGCCATCCTATATTAAGAAGAATATTACTCTCATTGTAGTATTAATGAGTGTCAAGACTCATAATAGTGATCAAGTTTTTATATTTTATTACATTACTGAATATAGAGCTATGAGTCGATTTCGATTCTTTTATATTGATCAAATATGTAAGATTTATGTTAAATTGGTCATTAATATTATAAGAAAAAACAGAATGGACAAAGAGATCAGAAACTGTATAACCATTTATTTACTGAACTCTTGTTGAACAAGTAAACAACTTTGTTACTAAAAGTATTAATTAATAAATCAATTTTATAATAATACAATATATAAAAGTAAGAGTAAACATTAATATTTGAACAATTTTGTATAAAAACAAAATGGACTTCTTACTTCGAATTTACGTAATTTTAATCTTCCATCTGATGCTTTGAAAAAGACATCATGTTGTTTTATAACGACACTATTGTTTGTAGTTAATTGTCTAATTCGAGAAATTTTAAGATCTGGGTCACTAATTTTTGCCTTTATTTCTATATTACGCATTTTTAATCTATATCACAATAAATTTGTAATGATAATAAGTGATGTTTTCACACTGATAAACTGATAACTCACGATTGTTATTTTCCAGCTATTACTATTGTGTGCAACCACATACAATGTAGGAAATAGATTGATCACCCAATGTAAATTTTTGTCGCAGTTTAAGGACTACGTGTTCCTATTACCATCCTCGTATCACTTTCAGTGTTACCGACTCAATCTAAAATGAAATTGTAATATTATTAGTGGTTCGAACTGAAATCAAATTTCACTATGAAATTATAAATGATATACAAATACAAACAAAATACAGACTTATTGCATTTTTTTTTAGACGTTTTGGAGGTTTTGGAGCCTTCTTATCATTTGCTGTCGATTTCAACATTATCGATTCAAGATGTATGAAAACTGTAATTTTATTTACCAGTGTCGCCTATCTTAAGTCGATAACATTAGAAATGATAATTCTCAGCAGTAGTTAAAGAAACGTACATTAATTATTATCTGCATTGGATAAGTATTATCATAGGACGAAGTGTAAAATAAACCTACATATATGTCATTGTATATGAATGTATATGAATGTATATGAATGTATATGAATGCATATGAATGCATATGAATGCATATATTATTTTAAATATAAATGTTCATAAATTAATCACAGAAATTGAATAATTTAATAATTTTTTACTGCCGAAGGATCTCTGCTCTTTTCTAATCGTTTTCTGTTCTTGTATATGACATGTTTTAAATGATCTCACATATTTTGTGTTCCTATTACTTTCCGGAGTTTCTAGTCGAAAATCAACGTAACTTGAATCTCATTGGTCTATTTGAATCGATTACTAACTCTGGTTATGTGTTCCTAATACATCCTAATAAATCAATACGGTAGTGAAAAATTAACAAATTACTCAATTTCTGTGATTAATTTATGAACTTTTATAGCTGCGTCGCAAAGCTGGAACTGTAGGCAACATTCTTATACAATTTTTGTACATAATTTGATGTTAATTAGTTTGTTATTAATATTTATTTCATGGAGACTTAATATGTGTGAAACTAGAAATAAATTATGAACAAAAATGGTATTTGAACATGCTTAATAATAGTGTAATTAAACTCACATAATTACAAGGTGACAGTTATATGGTAATTTTCGTTTTTATTTTATATAATTTTTATATTTACATTTTCTCAAATTTTTTATGAGTTGAATTTTTTGTTAATTAAGTAAATGAATACACTTTAGACATTTCTAGTATCGTTGATTTTAACAGTATGCTTACACGACTATCGATCATAAGCTCGATACCACCTCTTAAAGAATTATTTTACAGAAATTTGACGTGTAGAGAGGAATTATTGTTTCTATCGTAATTAACACAATCACTCTTAACTTTGGAGTTCTTTATGCTATTTTAAATATCCTCATTTTTAATTCATTACTTAAAATTTTATTTCTTATGTACACTTCTTAGTGCATTATCGTTATATCTCTTTTTAACGCTTGAAATATTAATTAAATCTGATTGGAGTACTATACTACGCGCAGAGAAATGGCAGTTACTTGTAACTTGTAGATACAACCGTTTACTTGCTATTTCTATAACACTGAAAGAATGATCTTAATTCCAAATTTCCAATTGTTTGTCACTAACTAAATCGTGAAAAAACATACTATAAACATGTATTCTATTTGTACATAGATTAATCTAATTCCTATGATACGCATGTACATAACATAAATATGAACTTCATGGAAACAGTTCTTATTAAAACGTGTAATATATAAAAATAATACATAATAATGGTGGTAATTAAGAATTAAACTTATGATCCATAGTATAGTTAAGTATTATTCAAAATTTTCGAGCTACATAAAAGAAATAAAATTTATACAAGTTGGAAACGTGTTTGGGCACCCCTTGCACAAAGAACCGTAAGAAGAAAAGAAATATGGCGTGTTTACTTGTAGACGATACGACAGTTCGGCCGGATTCGCAGATACATAGTTTTGTACTAATTTCCTAAAATGAAACGAGTGTTTTACTATATCTATTTACTGTACAAGTGCGTTTCATTCGACGCAAAGTATTACTTGAAAGCCTTCACATCAGATCTGTGTAAAGATTTGATATTTTGAATACCTGAAGTTTAAATCGAGTCGTAAAGTCGAATGAAAATTCGAGAAATATCATTTCACTTTGCATTTTATTCAGTGTTTTATGTATTTCTCGTTCCCCCTTTATTCGTGATTTTACTTATCACTTCGATAATATGTCACGTTTTAGAATGTTTATAACAACAATAATAATTCTGGTTACTTCATTTCTCTTTTCCTTCTCCCAATTAGCGGTATAATAATTTTACAAACGATCTTGGAAGCGAAAGTTACGAAAATATAACAGTGAGTTGACCAAGCCTTCTCGAAACAATTATTCGATATGGAAATAATTTATCTCTAAAATTATGAGAACGATCTTACGAGTGACCTTCTTACGCGTCGATAATCATCGTTGATCGAGAAATTACAAGTAAAAAGTTACTCGTAACGATCTTGTAACGATACGTGTTTACTGTTAATTCGCTAGTCAGTTTAATTAAGTTTACCTTAACAATGTATACGATTACCAATTAAGAATAATTACTTCAGCGATAGTTATCATCGATGAGTTAGTTTCTTACAACGAACCACGTTATCTCTTAACGGTAATATAGTTATAAATTTAAAACGATTTAATAGTAGACCTTCGAGTATTTTAACATGCCACCTCGATATTTCTTTTTTTCAATTGAATAGCGAAACGATTTTTAATACTCGTTAAGGGATCAAACGGTGCTTTCAAACAGTTTTACACTCCACTTATCACGCTCGAATTAGAACACGAGTTCCTCGATATATCCGTATATTAGTACAAGCACTCGTTCAGAGTCAACTGTTTGTTCATAATCGTAAGAGGGTAAAACAGTGTATTAATCGATGTTTTAAAAGATTACAACTAATGATCGCCTATTTCTTCCTGCCTGTCTCTCTTTCTTTCCTTCGAGTTACGATTCGATAAATGAACGTGTAATATGTGCTCGAAGTACAGGCTTCGTGTAGTAGAGCTTAGCTCAACGAGCTGAAGTGGATTTTATTGCACGAAGTACATATCACGTTTCTTTGTTAAACAAAATGTGTCGAAGATAATGGTGCAATAGAAAAGAGAGTGTATTTCATAATAGCAAATGAAGAAATTACAAATTCCAATCAATCATATATCTACTTCCAAATCCGTCAAAGTATTCATGAAACAATCCTTCTGTATTTAAAGAAATTTTCTTAACTGCTATTACAGTTACCATTTACTTAATTCATCGCTTAAAAACAATCTTATTTATCTCAGAAAATATCATTCCAACATCCTCAGTCATTCCTAACACCCTCTTCTTAATTGCACCAAGATTCTCCACCCATCTCATACACCTTTGAACCCTCGATCTCTATCACCGTTCTATTAATTAGAACAACAGCCTGGAAAGAAACGAGCTTATCAAAGATTTATGAATCAACCTTCGACCTTCGGTAACAAATATTCCTTTCATTCCTATCTCTGGAATGCATCCAATTCATTGCATCCCTATCGATCAGAAACCATCCTTCGCGTCCTCTTTCAGTCAGCGTCTCTTCGGTTCTCACCCGGTATCTTCTCACCAAGCATCGACGTTTCCGTTTCTTCGAGCCACGCCGCGATCGATTTCCACGACAGCTTAAATGTACTCGGCGAACATTATCCAGTATGTTACGTTTAATACCGCAAATAGGAAAGGGAAGAAGACTCGGGATACCCGATCGATGTTTAGAGCACGCATTCGCGCTCTCTGTGCAGGTGTAGGGCCTGGCGGTGGACCGGCTGACGATTTCTGCGATCGACCGGATAGCAACATTGCGTTCTCCTGCGTGACAACGATCACAACTTGAACCGCGGCTGTGCAGACAATGCTTCTGTGCCTCGGAGACTCGGAGAGATGAATGCGTGGTTGATAATGCGACGTATCTCGTCTCGATGATTCTTTCCTTTTTTCCAGTAATTTTCTAGCGAAGATATTACGTGGATTTTTCGTACAGTTTGCTTCTTTAGTTTTGAAGACTCAATTAAGGAAAAGAACTTTCAATACCAGTATTTCAATGATAACTATTAATGAACCACCCGGCAAACTTAAAATTCTAAATGAGAACCGAGAAATCTAATCAAATTAGAGTCACTACTAGAGTCAGCTATACCTTCTACAAACGTCAAAATCAATCCTTTGAATCGACTTACATCTATCTAAATATTCATTTCAGCAGATTCGGTTAAAGAATTCAATCTAATGTTCCTCGATGAGTATTGGGATATATAACTTCTTTCATGCTCTTTCTCCGAGGCACAGAAGCTGTCTGAGTCATTCAGATCTTCATCCAGGCGTTACCTTAGTAGCGATGTCAAAGATTTTATCTAGCTTCGCAGAATCTGTGCCGCTGGAAGATGGCGGTGCAGGCGGCGGCGCCGGTTTCGGAGGAGTATCCGAGTCACCGAGAACGATGTTCACCAGGCAATACTCCATCAACGCCATGAACACGAAGACCGTGCAAACTGACATGAACGCGTCCACGGCCTTTAGATATGACACAGGAGGTAATGACGCTTGACTCTTCGCATGCTGCGTCGAAAGGGTCAGCAAGGAAGTTACGCCCAGTGTCACTCTGGCTGGCGCCGCTTCCGGTTTTATCCAAAACGAGACCCACTGCACAGGATGAGACGAGAACAATCGATTTTATTAGATTGATTGGCGAGTTTTATTACCTTCTTCCACTTTACTCTTTTAGGAGAAATCAACTATACACTCTATCTTATTTACGACACTGACAAAACGGTTTTCTAAAATTTGAATCATATTTTATACCCAAACTTACCGACATAATAACAATCAGACAGGTAGGAATGTAAGTATGAAACAAGTAGTAGCCAAGTCTACGTTTCAGGACGAACACTACCTCAAGACAAGTGAAGTTACCTGAACACCAAGAAATTTCTGTTAATTTCACAACCATAAATTCCATTACCCACGCTTAACTGTAAATCTTTCTTAAGCAATTACTAGCCTATAATTTCCACCGTCTCTAAATGTTATTACCATTCACAACCTAATGCAAAGGTACGTCAAACACTGACATCTAACTTCCAAGAGACACCATTCACGTGAAAATGAATTCAACCCTAAACCAAGCCAAATCTTCGTTCACATCCCTTCTCCACTCTTCGAGCCATTTTTAAAACTGTTAATTAGGAAGGAGAATAGACTTCTTTCTTTCTTTCACAAAATGACGTCGACATGGAGCGTCACTTACCCGTAGAATAGACCTGTGTGCAATCGGCTGTGTAATTTTTAACCAGTTGCAGTTGCGGCAGCTCGATGTTCTCATCGACGACGAGTGGTACGTCAGGATCCCACTGGAAGATCATTTCATCCGTCGTGTGCGACACTGTTGACCGAGTTGTATTGTCCTTGTGAAATCGCACGGCATTCAGTCCGCGAAACTAAAGGAATATTCATGCGGGTCTACCGTTTCGAAATGATACACAATTTCGATCTCCTTTCGTGCGATTCAACTCGATTGATGCTAATATTGGACATCTTTTGGGAGTATTATCTCTCCTTTTTTTTTTTTCTATCAGCGACACCGCGTTTTCAATGGAATGATCTTTGACGATTTGAAGATGAGACTGTATGTAAAATAAGCCGCGAATTGGATGGAAAATTGGAACACTGACAAAAATATAACGTTAAAAGAATGAATTAGAGTGTACAGGATAAAAGGTGTAAGAGGAAAATGAGGAATGACGAATCATTATGCTAATATACTATTTTGCTACGGGTAAAGTGAATATTCGGAAGCTGATTTGTATGGAACGTGTTACTCACAACTTTCCATTTGTAGTTTACACTCCTGTGTGTCGTGAGGGTAGATCAGGAAGTTCATGGCACAGGACAATTTTAACGTCAATCTGAAAAGTGATACAATATTTTATTATATTGTGATAATTAACATTTTAACAACGGTGTAATTGAATCTTACGATAAAAGAACATAGAATGAACATAAGAGAATTTTGAATTTTGTTTCTTACTTGACCATGTATAAAATAGTTTTGTCTTTGTACAACCATAAGTAATGATTCGGTATAGTCATCGTTTGAAAAGTCACTGATTTGGCATTCTTAAAGAACGAATCTGGTCGCCACATATTCTTCAACCAGTCCACTTCCAGTAATCTTAAATAACACAGTTCAAAGATTTTTACATAATTTATAAATTAACAAAAATGTGAGATATGGTTTTTGCAAATTTAATTCCATATCTTATTGATATATTCGAATATATTTAATAGAATTTATAATCACAATTTTAAGTACCTATATTCGGATGTCATATTTTCTGGTAATCGTAGCCTGTTGTCTTTCCAAGTTTGAGCGAAGAATATATCAGCTGCATAGGTCTGGAAGAATGAATCACGAAGATGGACAATTTAAAACTGAGTCTCGATTATTTATTAAAATCAAAATAGTGTAATACACTAAATAAAATGTCTCAATGGAACCTTTCTTCGTGTTTCACGTTTGCAATTGAAGAAAATTTTCTGAATCCATTTCAACTCGAGTTCAACATAAAAATCAATAAATTATAGGAATCTTTCTTTCAAAGCTTGAGATTGTATTCGTGCTAATTCTATAAGCAGATTCAGTACGGTGTTATATTTTCAATGGATTAAAGAGGTCTTTTAATTTAAGCAATGCACGATACCATCGAATTCTCATCTATGGAATCAAGACCCATAACAGTGACGTGGAAATAAACCACGGTCGCTTGTCCATCCTTCTTTGGTGGTCGCATTTTGTCGTACAACTTGGGGTCTTCCGGTAGAAGATCGAAGAACTCCAAGCTCCTCCTGAAATTTCGAGTCACAACTTCAGTAAACTTCAAACACTACGTTAATCGAAGCACACGTAGTTTGTACAAATTATCACATAGACATTTCAAACTAATACAAATTAATAAATGAAAAATTATTCCTATATCGAAATATATCAACACCAGAATTTTGTAACGAAACAAGAACGAAACGTAAAAAGTATTTCTACTAAATTCAATTTTCTTTTTTAATTCACTTTTATAAATTTGTATAAAGTATTTCACAGTTTGGGAGAAGAGCAGAATTTCATTACGCGTTTTATTACGTATTTCATTGTTTGTTAATGCACTGTGCACGAAACATACAGAGAAGAAAACCACAAGAGAACTTCACAAAAATTTGGAGCTGTTTTCCGACACCCTCTCGCGTTTATTGCACTTTGTTGATCATGTTTTCGACTGTTTTAAGCACGTACAGTGTGGTTCGCGATGTTTTAAATATTACATTACCACAACTGCTTTCTTTCATTGCAAATATTATTAAATAATTATTTTTACATGTAAGATTCTTGTTAAATTTGAGATAATAGTTTTACCACACGTTACACATCACACTTTACCGATTCCACTGTAATTTCATTTGGTATTTCAAACTTTTACCTTCGAATTTATCGAAAGTCTTCGATTCAGGATCCTCACTTACGATTTTGAAACTAGCTAAACTAAATTTTCTTTAATTTTATGTATCTATCGATACTATTTTTTACGTGAAAAGTGTATAAAAATTAGTCATTAAACTTTTAATTGAGAACTTAATACAACGAAAAAAAATCCGCTAGAAATAGTTAGGAGAAAACTTCACACTATGATTTTCTACATACCCTATCATCAAAGAATATTATAAATTTATATATATCAAGAAAACAGAAAGAAAGGACAGAAAGTACAATTTTATCTCACTTTTCTCACGAAAAAAGGAAACCTTTCTAAAACTATTACTATCTCCAAGAAGATAGTACAAACTTCCTTCTCAAGAGCTAACAAACTACCTCCTAAAAAAGGAAGCAAACGCAAGTAAATGTAACTACAGAAATTACAATCCCAAATTGCATGATTTTGACACCAGAAAATCCCATATCTATAGGAATCTTCCTTGACCAAAAATTCTCCTTCCAAACCCCCTTACTCTCTACTCATAAACCAAGAGTACCAAGAACCATAAGGTCGCCAATAATAAGACCAAATGACTCTGATAAGAAACGTCGTCAACAAGATATCAAGATTCACACGGGTCTCGATACATAAGAAGCATAAATCCAAGGAGAGGATCAGGCCTCGCGGAGACTTGGGTTAAGATGGCCGACGAGATGGTCGGGTCGGCCGGGAAGACGGAAGAGGAAGAGGCAAACGGAGAAGAATCTTACTGAGCGTCCGCGGTGCGTCCAAGCAGGAGAAGAAGCACGACCGAGGAAAGGATTGCGGAAACCATGCCGCCTCCATGTGTCTCGTCCATCGACATCCTTGGTCGATCGCTTCTCAGCGCATCTTCCTCGCAGCAGAAGCGGAAGGAACCGATTTGCCGGGGAACAGCGACAGCGGAAACGTGCGGCGTTCCTTACGAAAGACGACGAGAAGACGTCGAGAAGTCGAAAAGAGAAAAGAAAGGGGAAAAAAGAAACTGTGCGATGGCCCTTCGTCGAAGACAGGGGCTCTCAGCTGGCCCCTATACCTCTTCTCTCTTCCCCCTGATCGTTATTCCCCGAATCGCGAGGACGTGCAACCGTCGACTGACTTCTTCAAACGACTTTGCCGAAGCTGCAGAATCCTCATCGTCGCTGGTTAGAGAGGCAGAGGTGGAGGTGGATGCTCGTTGGTAGCGGTGGTGGTGGCGATGGAGGTGGTGGACCAGCGAGCAGCATCGGATGCACACACCGATATACTTCGCTGCCACCCCGCCGCTTCTTCCTCTTAACTCGATACAGAGGGATGAAGAAAAGGTAGGAAGGGGAAACTCACTCTCTCGCGTGCTTGGTGACGTATACGGGGAACGAAGACAGGGGTTGGAAAGGGTCGAGAGAATGTACCAGCGCGAGGACCGGTGTTAGAAAGAAGTGGTGGTAATCCCTGGTGGGACCGTAAAGCGTCACGATGGTTCCAACGACACGAATTTACCCCAATGCGGTATGTCCGTGGTATCCTCCGCTCTAGATGCTCGCCTCGAACACACTTCGACGCTGTACGCTAATTGCGACGATAAACGCTAAAAGGGGTGGAATAACGCACGATCGAGTGGAGAACACCCGGATAGATGAGAGGACCACGCGATGTTTTAATCTATGTTGGTATGCGAAAATTGTCATTATGATGGGGGTATCCCTAAATTTTCTATCTTTTTTTCTTTTGTAAGTTTGCAGAGAAGTTATAGATGAAGTGTTTAACATTTTTAAATAATTGGGGGCGAATTCGAGGGGGCAAATTATCTGATATACTTTGGTTATGTTTCAATTAGTATTGGAAAGGTAATTGAATTTTTCATTACACTGTTGGATTAGTGCCTATATTTTTAAGCACTAAGCACTAATCACTAAGCACTAGATTCTACAAAGAAATTCCTATATATGTAGTTCTATTCAATCACATAATTAATACCCTATGCGTATTCATTTAGCATTATATTGATACTCAATGACTTTTAGTCTATGTTCACAGAAATCAATGAAGCAGAAAATTGTTTTTATTGCCAGAGACTCATTAGCAGGATTCATTGGACACAATGAAAACGTATCCGTTCGTTCCAATCCTCCACGGAGTTGGGTGTAAACGAGCGGTGAAGAACAGAATATCAAAGCACGACTGTGTTTCTTTGATGTAGCAACTTAAAGACGAGAAGAAACCAAAACCACTTCTATTTTCTACATTTTCTAACAAGATTCTCTAACAAGATCTCTCCGTTGGATATGAAAAAAGAGGATCAAATATACTTAGTATAATTATCTCATTTTTGATGTAATTAAAGAAGTAATCATGGACCAAGATATCTCACCTTTATTTTTACTAGGACACCTGATATCACTTCCAAAACTTCGGATAAACGACGTCGCGTCGCTAGTATTTCGGCCATTTCCTGATGAAAAGACACGAAAAAGTGAAATTTCTCGTCTAAAGATTCGAGATAAAAATTAGTTCGCTAGACGTCTCGTTTGCAAATACCACAGCTACTAGCAATGTAAAACATAGTATATACGTATACCTATTGCATACTCAAAATCAAAAACTCTTTGTATCGATCAATTATTCCTTCAACGACTTTTGATTATAGACATTAAGGAACATACTTTTCATTCACGGATATCAAAGGATTAAAGCAAAGATCCTTCCATCGTTATTCCTCAGCTACTCAAGCTCTCAGAGTTGGACCACATGGTGATCGAAAATCGAAGACTCGATGATCTACAGAACAGAAAAATGACCCAAGAGACCATGAAAAGACGGGAAAGGTAGAGAAGGAAGCAGACAGGGCACAGAGGAAGAACGTCATGCATGAGGAAGAGAAAGCAGAAGAATCGTGGTGGAAAGAAAGGATCTTGCAGTTTCTCCTCTTGCTGTCGCCACCCTTCTTGAGGGTAACTCTCAGAGACGTTAACTACCGTGCTATTTGAAGACATCGTCGTCGACCGACGGGACACGCCGCTCGATATATCGATCCTCGAAAATTGTGCCGCGAATAGAATGCTACGTGTTCGCGCCGCTCGTACATCGTGAAGTGGCCGCTCTTCGAGAAGGTATATATACACGCACAAGCTCGCGCGAGCGCATATACATGTGTGTAGTCACTTCCCAGAAATTACATATATCTGCAAGAACACGCGGATACGTAGTCCAAAGGGGTGGAGGAAAAATACCTAGAAGAGACGGCAATAGGTAAGAGAGTCCTTTTCGACACTTTCTGTGGAATATATAGTTCCGTAACGACGTCCCTATTGGTCGTTAATGGGAATTATAAATTTATACGAACCACGAAATGAAAAATAATAGAAGACCTTTAAAAGAAAAAAAGAAAAGGGAATTCTTACGATTAAAATTGTGGCAATGAAATCACAAACTCTTTCAGCGACACTCTATCATTTGTGAAAGAAACAATGTTACAAGATACTCACTCTCTTCCTTTGTTTATGCATTTCCCTTTTATTCCCATATTTAAATTCAAATGTTACTTAATTATCAATAAATTATGAAGTCAAAGCAAGACCTCGTATGTAGAAAATAGAAAGTGAAGAGGGGGATGATTAAGTGTCGAACTCATGCGGTGTATCTTAGTATAATGATACACTTCTTTGTAGGGATGACTCGACATCAAAGGTGGCCTTGATCCTTATCAATAATTCCCAGAAATTTTGCATTATCATCGGCGGCTCAAGCAAGGCTATTGTTGTTCTTAATTCTAAGTCATCGTTTTATGTTCACCCTTTTATGATTAACATCATTATTTCTATCAAGAAGTTCAAAATACATCTATTCTATTCTTTATATTAATTAATTTAAAAATTATTATTTCTTGTCTATTGGCTATTACTATTTCTTAGCTTATAATTGAATAATCATTGCACGTAATTATTCTCATTAAAAGAATAATATCGATAAATATCATTAACAGAGAAGCAGTCGAGGATAATCGAAATCAGTGTTCTACCTTGAAATGATACTTCTTTACCACGTGACACGTGAGGGTGAAGCCGTGGTCGTTCTCATTAGTACCGTCACAATTAATAACATTACCTCCCTCTAACATCTTCATATTTTACGTAGATTCGTGAGCCATGTCATGATGACGTTTACAAGAATTCACTTGGCAGAATTTTATAGATTTCCGTATCTTCAACAGGGTAAAACGAAACTTCCGTTTTAAAAAATTGAGGGCTTACTTTTAGCCCTCTAAATTAATCTAACAACCCTTATTCTTAACGTACAACGAACCTTTCATTCTAGAAATTAAAAATGTTTATTTTTAGTAGAAATTAATTTTTAATTTTTAATTTTATCTTTATTTTTATATGCACATATATATCTTTATTTAAAGAACTGTAAATCGTAAAAGTATCCGTTTTATAACTATGAAAAGTAACGTTATTTATTAAAATATTAAAAACATGTAATAAATGTCTAAAATTAGTCAGTTTAAGAGGAACTTGAATAGAGAATACGTATAAAGTACGAAATCGTGAAAAAGTAGAAAATTAGCATCATCGTGTAATTAACGAATAATACTTGGTCAGGGTGAATGTATTTACATTTACCTTGACCTCGTGACATTACCTTGAGAATGATAAGAACGAATTCCTTTTCCCTTCACTGATTCTAAGTCGTAGTATCGACCAGTCTCTTTGAAAAGCGCGTTTCCACAATGCCTTTCTAATTGTCGAGTGCTGGATGGGATATGGCAACACTTTGGCGGAGACATTGCTACACAAGGATTCCTTGAAGAAAGAAAATTATCGGGAAAAATCTAAAATTCTAAACATATTCGCGAAATATTTCTTCTACTTACTAACTAAATTTCATTAAATTCTTGTTAAAACCATTATCTCTTTTTTCATGCGAGTATCTTTGTGTAAATCTTCATTGAATTTAATGCTATTGTCAGAGACTTTAAAGCTTGGCCATGACTTTTAGAGTGAACTTTATGTTTTTACAAAAATTAAATATAATATAATTCAATCTTTGATGAAGGAAATGAGGAACCTTTGAAACTCTCCTGATAAATCAATTTGGAATCAATATATGTATTTAGGGACCAGAAACAGTAAAAAATATTAATAGAAACTAATATAAAGTTAATAAAAAATGTTATTTCACATCCCTAAAACAATAATTTGCAGTCACAAAGAAAATTTCAAGGAAGATGATCCAATGCTGTATCTAAAGTAAAGTAAATGAACCATACACGTCGATTTCATAAATTACTATTCTGCGTATGCATTATCATTACTATTATCACTGCTATAGCTAGAAAATATGGATGACTTGAAAGTCTCAGTAGACAAGTAGGAGCTAGATACAAGAGTTCCCAGAGCGACTCCATCTCGTCGCAGGCGCTGCAAGAATTCCCTTATTTCGATAGAATAAAATAGATATTTATCGATACTTGTCGATTCACAGCAATAATATGACAACTATGACACATGCCAGAATCCGATATATATTTCGATGCGTCTCGTGACGTCATTTTTCGTAGTACTGACGTCGATACTGCGGCTGGCTGCCGTTAGAAAGGAAAGAGCCGAGAAATGGATTGCTGAAGGAGCGGTTCGAGTGGTTCACGGCATTCTGCTATTCCCAGTGGTGTTGCAGGCCCAATGACCTGATTGTCGAGGTAAAAAGAAGCTGCTCTCGATGGTTCGTTACCACGAGCCCCCGACACGACGATGATGTCTGCGTTATTTCCAGAAGCGAAAAGTGTCCCGCCTATCGCGCCACTTTGGATACGATTCATTTTTCCATTCCTTCGACGTCGTTTTATCCTAGTGCCTTGCACGTCTTGCCGGCTCCAACGGACAGATTCGACGAACGTGAATTGGAAATTTTGCACGACGCTTGGGGATACTTGGATGACTTGGAGACTTGGATGGTTGTTCAAGACACTTGTATAGCGTATTGTAGACATATCGTAAAATGGTATTTTTAGCTGGAGGAACTTTTTTGAGAAAGTTTTGGAGAAGGAGGATGATTTGATCACTTATGAAATTTCTTCTTCTTCGTTGTTTTACATTTTATGAGTTAACAGTGAGTGAGCACCTTTCTTCCTCAAGTATCACTATCATTGAAAGTACTATAATAGTGAATATAAACATAAAACCACCTGATTCTTCCTGAAAAAGATCTTTCATTCGTATAAGGGAATACTGTACTGTTAATAGAATGCCATATTATTTTCATAAATTTTTTTAAGATTAATAAAGACGAAGATTTCAACTTATCTTAAATTGTCAAACTTCTAGTATATTCTTTCCTCATTTTAGCATATCATTAAAGGTAACTTTTGTTTCGTCTTCCACTGGAACACGATTCTTCCTCAAGCTGTTAAACACTTTTTTTTCGTACTGGGTTAAGGTCCCCGGATAAGAAAAAAGCGATTATCGGAACAAGATCACCGTATTATCGAATTTAAAGATCTATATTTGACTCACTCGAGAAAGAGCGCGGGTAGGAACGTTTAAAAAATCGAACTCGTCTCAAGTGGCCGAAGTGTTGTCAGCTTCTCTTCGATCACCAGCGACGAAGCATTTACGTCAAAGACTCTATGACGTCACTCAACGAGTTACAATGTCAGTTAAAACGTTAAATATCCAACATTCTTTTTTCTTTCCTTGCATAAAATACATTTATTTTGAAGAATTTGTAAAAATCGGCGTAGAAATGTATTGTGATCCCAGGACCCTATTTTGTACAGAAACATAGAGAAAATATAAAAGAAAAATATTCTAATTTCAAAATAGGATATTAAAAATTAGAATAATATTTTAGAATACTAGAAATTAGAATTTAGAATGATATTTCAAATTAGAAATTAGAATAATAATAAAATAAGCAAAGGTTACCTAACTTTATTTAATGAGGAATTAGAAAATAATTCTTACCAAATTATAAAATCACCTACTGCTGAATTATCTAAAGTACTATCTATTAAATGAATAATATACATCGATTTCTGAAATGTATTCGAATGAGGGTTTATCATGGATGTCGATGCATGAGTATTTACTTACGTTTACTGTAATATCACATTTTGAAAAATACTATAAAACTGACGTCATGTCTGATACGTATTTCTAATTATAACGTAGCCCCTTGGACGAGAATGTCGTAATATCTACGATCTTCAAAAATATGAAATATGTCTTCACCTATAAATAGATAGCTGGTACTTAATGGGTTAAGCATCGTGTTGTCAGCTCGGCGTATTGATCTCTTATGTAATTCATTCTGTTTTGACGACCGTAACCACTTCTTTCTTCTAATTATGCACTGCTCGAGTATATCAACTGCGTTGTAATTAATAAATGAAGTACCTTTGCACCTTCTTTAATTGATGGTCAACACCGTCTTTGCGTTAACGAGGATAAATTTGGTTAGGTTTGACGTCTTACCGCGCGTTCACTGAAGATCGTTCCACTTTACGATCGATACTCGATTTCGAGAGAAGGGGCAAATGCGATATTTCACTCGCCAAACTCACTTCCTTCAATCGAAACTGTATTCAAAGGTTAAATAAGAAAGATAAAAGTACATATAACCCATTCAATTAATGTATGTAAGTACGTATACCACAAAAATATTATTATTGTTATACTGTTTCAATAATTATATTTAACGAGTCTGTTATTGTAACTAACTTATGTTAAATATAGTATTATTTTAACAGGATCATCAGTATTGACAATATTATAGTTACTTACCTTTTATAATCAAGTTAAAGGAAGGTATAGAATCCTTGTATTTCAAATAATCATATACAAAAGTGTACATTTACATACTATATCTCAACTCGTTTCTCAATATCGAACCAATTTTTCAGGTTAGGAGTTATTGATTCGATATCGATTGTCGAAGCAACAATTGATGTAACAGTGATCTGCGTAACGACGGCCGTTACAATAACGATCGATAAAGTAGTAATTGATAAAACACCGATGCAAAAACGATCGACGTTCACACGTCATGGTCAAATAAGATTAAGGAAAACGGGTTGGAATATCCTGCGGTCGGTTGTACACGATGACACACGTCGTCGCGGTGGTGTTTTTGCGAACGTCAGCGGAGATACTCTTGGCCGAGGCACGTCGAGAAGTACGGTCGGGTGCGGAGGGACACCGGTCGGGCTTAGCTTGCCGTTGGAGGAGCGTTTCGAGGCAGCTGGAGACGATGCACGATAAGCACGCCCGTTCCTCTTTCTTCTGACCTCACGCCGTTTTTCATCCCCCCGGCCGGGCCGAAACCCACCCCCACGACCCGCCTGCCTATTATTTTCGACCGATTGCCAATTGTCGTGCAACTGCCGACGTAGGTGCTCCTGCTGGATGATTCCAGCTTGCTGCAGAGGATAACAGGACTCCTGGAACGATCGCTGCCACTCGATCCTGGAATTTTCTGTCACTCCAGTTATTGCCTCTTTCGTCTCTCTTTTTAACTTTATTACTGGTAAGTTTGGCACTGAATTTTAGAAGTATATAACTCTTGAATCGAATGAACTTTTACTACTAATACACGATTGAAGTTATGAAATTTTGTAATCTCTTTTGTTCTATTTTTCTTTTTAGGATGTGTTGATTTTATGCAGTATTTTGTTCAGTTGATTTCCATTTCTTCTTTGATTTTTGGATACTGGTGAATACTTATTGGAAATTTACAAATTCAATGTTAGAAATTTAGGAAATTACAAATAATGGTAAATAGCAGAAATTTGATGAAATTTTTAAGTCTATCCTGTATTATAAAATAATTTCAGAAATTCATTTTGCTATTGTAGGGCATATAAAAGAAAGTTCGTTCACTAAAATTGAAATGCTATAGTTAAAGTAAGAAAAATGTTAAATCCACCAAAATGTTCATAATGAATTACCAGAAGATCTCGATTAAAAGTAATCGAAATTAATAAAACAGGAAAAATGAGAAAAACAATAATCGATCGTCGATCGAACGAAGAGTCGGTAGTGGCCGATGACGCGCAAGATCACCCTGTTACCTCGAGATTTCGAGGTCGATCACGTCCTCGTCCCAGAAACCCAGGGATGAGGATGCACTCTCCGTTTATCCCACGGAAAATGGCATACTCGGCTACTTGAATTAATTATCTCGTTGCGTCAAACATCTGACATTTTTTTTAAGTGTTTACGCTTGTAAAGTTAAAGAATCAACTGAAACACTATCGCATTATCTTCAAACCATTTAGGATAACTACTTAACATTAAATTTAAAATAAACCATTCTATAAAATACTATAATTTTGCTATTAATCATGCAGTGCGCACATTGATAATCAAAAAAGGACAAAGATTACAAAAAAATTAAAAGTCGAGAAATCAAAATTAAGACACGTTAACCACCTGCTTTGTCTACTACTTTAAATGAAGGAAATACATAGGGGCTATTTGAAATTAAATGTTTCTTTGATGCACAATTTTTTATCATTGAATCATAGTGCAAAGGATTAAGTGCTGCGAAAATAACTTAAGTCTGAAGCTTCTTCTGTTACCTGAATTCATATTTTTTCAAGTTTCTTCGTGATAAGCAGCCTGAAAAAGTCTATCAGAAATTAAATTTTTGCACGTAACACAGAGACGAAAGAAACAGAAATGCTTGACAATAGTAAATGCTTTAATACGTATCTAAAATAAAGTTCGTATCTGAAATTGAACGAGAGCACTTAGGGTAAAGATCTGGAAAAAGTGACAGGAAACAAACAGACGATAAAAATCCAAGCACACGACAACCCTGTTCAGCCTTAAAATTTTATAAAACACAATCGTTTTGCGCGCGATACAATCAGTTCATCCGATAAACTCATCGTTAAGACTTCGATATTCTTAGCATTTAGAGAAAAAAAACCTAAAAATAGAAAAAATGACACTTTTTCTTTCCATGTTTCTCTTTTTCATTTTGCAACGCAATTCAATCCGGACTCGATCGCCCAAAACAGTGCTTGTAAAATTAAGAAAGTGACGAATTCGTGAAAATTGTCCTCGTACAAATAGTCTCACGCGTTTGATTAAACAACCCCCTTTCCCCCTGAAACGTTATTACGAATGTTGCGTCTTTGTTGTCGCGTTGGTATCTGTCCCTTCGCCATTTTTTTTCTTTCACTTCCGTTTCTGTTTCTATCATGATGAACTACCTCAGCTCGCGATCTTCGAAGCTAAATATTTCCACGGACATCAAGTGTGATTGTGTCTTACGCAATTGTACCATTAAAAAAGCATACGTGATCCTTCCAGACTTGAAAAATCTGCCAAACATCGCTTCAGTGTTTCATGCACGTCATTTCGTTCGTAATTAATTACAAAATAGGAATCTTTTCGTACAAGGTACGATATTTCAGTACAGTAATTCATTATTGAACAAAAATAAGAAAATATCGACACATATTAATTATGAATATGCTATACTAATTGGAAACGGAAAAATCATTGATTTACAGGTGAAGATCCAAATCTGGAGGAATCGATAGATAAACCATGAGTTACAGAGACGGTGCTAACAAATGTTTATGATATAGTACAAAGAAATTTGTGTACTGCTTTTCAACCGTGTGAAAACCAAAAAATCGACTGTACAAGTGGTCGTTTTTCTTTTGGGTACCTTTATACTCTGCAAGCGTATTGTAATTTCACAACTTGTGTGTATAGAACGCAACTATGCTTCCATGATCGACCTTCGTACCACCAAGACAGATACTAAATTCGTGTTGTGTACGAATGATTAAAAATTTTGATCTCTGCTTCGTTTTTTAAATTTCGTCTATTTTATTCATTTTTTTTATTTTTTTCTATTTTTATTTATTTTTTTTTATTTCGTTATTGATGATGATATATCGAATTTTATTTAGGAATGTTTGTGGTGGAAGGCAGGTTGGTAGTGCGAAGGTTAAAAGCGTACAACGAGTCCATTGGATTTTACATACACACATGTCTGTTTAAATTAACCCTTTTATTGCCAACAGCCAACATACTTTCCTTGCACTTATGCGAAACTGCCACTGCCATTTATATACATTTGGATTATTAATTAAATATTTTCCTACATTTACCTATAGAAAAGAAAACTCGTATTTCGTGTCCTCTGAGTTTGGAGAAAATAAACAGTAAAATGTTATACCACGTATTTGACGCTGTCAGTAAAAAGGGCTAATTCTCTCGTGACAACATACTGAATCGTCATATTCGCGTATAATGAACTTACTTTATTACAACGTTATAAATGATCGTTAGTAAACGTTTCTGAAAACACAGAAATATCGACTTATTTCGTGATATACAGTATGGACTGAACCGATAATATAATTGGAAAGAGAAGGATTGTTTTGAATAAAATTAATCTAGATCGTAAAATTCTTCATGCAAAACGTTTTGACTCGTTTAATAGTCCTACTGCTAAATGCAAAGAGTTCATGATATAGTATATTATTTTTTGAATTTTCCTTTAAAATATTATAAACTGTATATAAATCGTATACGTAGATTAAATCGAATTTATATTAAATTTTGAGATTGCTACTTTCCAAAATTAAGTACAGACATAATTAGTCGTACTAAATTTTTCCTTCATTTTTCTCAAAAGAAACACCCGATTCTTTCGATTCTATCCTCTCAGTCCACCCTGTATAACTTTTCCGAAATTTTCAACAGATCTTAGCAAACGTAAAACATCTTGCGGTCGTTGGCACTTTTCAAAGGAGCAACTCTAAAGAAATGTGAAAGGAATTGGGCCAAAGACACATTCGTTCCATCCGCGTACTCTCGAAATGCAATCAGTCGATGACGAATATAAAAATCGGTGAACTATCAACCTCGACGAGTATAACTAAATTTTGAACAAATGATTCGTCAAATGATATATTACCAGGAAAAGTTCTCCTCGTGATTCTCTTCTCAGCCTCAAATTGTTCTTTTTTTTTCTTTTCTTTAGCAACGTATATTATCACATAAAAGAGCCACTGATACATTAGGTCAAGAAGCGTCTGAGACTTTCGATCTCGACCCTTTATACTCGTTAATCGTGCTAATAAAATCGGCAACGTTCAAACGGACAGCGTAGAATAATTCGAACAACTAAATCTTCGACAGATAGCGCAGAATAATTCAGACACGTTCCTCTTTCTCTCACTGAAACGTCGGCGCTTAAATCCTCCGTCTGTCAACACAAATCACAAAGGTCCACGCGATCCTACGTAAAGGCTTTATAAAAATAATTATTGTCCTCGTGCGTTTCAATTTTCGTGTCTGATTAGCGAAGAATGCCCTAGAGTCTCTGCTCGATGCACTCGATTGAAGAAGCGAAAAGAAGAGAATTAAATCAACTCGAAACGCAAAGGGTCTGAGAGTCCCGCGTATTAAATCAGTCGCAGAATGTCTGTGAGTGGGAACTTAGACGAGAAACGTGTATACACGACTCTCTTAAGGCTCTCTACTAGATTAATCCGTTCAGAGTTCGAAACTAAAACCTATATAATCGAGAAAGAGACTGTACAAAAGGACGATTTGTATGTTTTTTGTCCAAGAACGTGTGATTCTACGATCACGTGTTCTGAAGTGTATAACGCGTGTAACAAGACAATTTGCATTAATTATTTTGGAACATAGTACGTGTTGAAATCCTATCGCGAACTCTGAACGTGTTAATCATTGGATACAGACTTCGATCGATCAATCGATCAATCGATCAAGAACGTCGATGCGGTCGTTAATACAGAACGCGTCGCTATACATGTACGATATTCGACAATGTAATTAATCGTGATCATCGTGTGACTTGCTAATGTGCATCGCGTATCGGA